AACCGTTCAGGTCTGAGATAGAGTATGTTTTGCGCTGTGGCCTGGAATTGAGAATGAAACTTTATTTTCCCCCTTCAAACTTGGGTAATGTGCAGCCCTTCTCAAATTTTTATGTAGATGGAAGCCACCCGGTTTACTGGAGGTTATGTATTAGAGACGGGCATGCCAACTGATTTAGCGGTGTGAAATAGGATCTCGGAAATCACATATTTCGGCAGAAGCTTTCAGAAATAGGGTGAGGGTTTTAAAACATGTAACGCACTCTCATCAAAAAGTTTCCAGAGTACCTATCTCCTTGGTATCCAGAAAAGTAATTCTTAACTTTGCGTAATAATCGCATCTATTAACATAGTTTATGTTGTATTTGAAATATTTGTTTATTTATTTACAGTGTCCCCAATCAGCACATTAGTGCTAAATACATCGACACTTAAAATAAGTGATTATTATGATTATTATATTATAGAGGAAGAAAACTCAATAGCCCTTATGCATGACGACATCAGACAAGCAAATTTTACCACTAAGCCTCGGTTTGAAAATGCAAATTGCAAATTTTATCATGCACAAATTCCCAAAGCAGGAAAGATGAAAAAAATACCCTCATGAAAACAACACGAACTGAGGGACAGAGGTTTCTGAAAATTTCTCGAAAGCGAGACTCACTGGTGAATTTTGAGCGTGTGACGTAGTCATGCCTAAGACCTAGAAATTGGGTTCTTATCAGTGTTATATTTAAGGCATTTAACCCCTACAGGTCAATCATTCGCAAACTCGTTGTTTCATTTCAAAAACTCAAAGTTAATTAATTTTGTTACTGATTTAATTTTCGCGGCCACGGCAACCGAGTAAGCACCGTTCTGATTAACAAAGGGGCTGATACTGGCCTGCAACAACCTGGTACTTGCCAGGAGCGACCAAGTCATAAGCCAATTTGGTAACATCTAGGAATCCCGACATGTCAGCTACACGGAACACGTGTTTCTCGCGATCGGGTGAAGCTACCTTCACGATTTCATCGATTCCTGAAATGTAGTTACCAACAGCAACCACGAAAATCTCCACGCCAGAGCTCTTCAGTAAGTTGGCGTTGGGTATGGTCTTGTCAGACTCGATGTTGGACCTCCCATCAGTGACAAGGAAAGCAATCTTGGTCACGCCACGACGTTTTCCTTTCAA